AAGCTACTTTTTTCTCTGCCTCTCCCGCATCAGAATGAAAAAGGACAGAAAAATAATAATTTATTTTTAAATCTGTAGTTTAAATAACAATCATGCCAGCAAAATGTCCAATAAAAATTAGACATGAGGGATATGTAGAACAAACATAGTCATCTGGAAATTTTAAATCACAATTAATAATAATAGGCAAATCACAAGTCTAATAGTGCATTACAAATAAAAAGTATTCAAAAATAAATTTAAGAGGAAGTTGTTTATTCATAAGCAAGAAAATAGGCTATTGAACTTGGTATCTGATTTGTTTGTATTATTAACAACACAGCTTTATCTCATCATCTGAACAAACAAACGAGGGTGCTAAACAGAAATAAGCACTTTCTAACAATATATAATCATCACTCTTATGTGGATTACTCATGTTATGAAAACAGTAAATTTTTTCTATTTAAAATCTCTAGCTTAATTGCCTGAAATATTATCTCTGTTGTCCTCTATTTAATAATCTTTTAAACTCTCTCTTGGTGATTTAAGGCTGCTGAACAATTAAACTGCTGTCTCTTTGTGCATCCCTGGGACATGCAGACAGATGGAAGGATGTCTAAATACTGGCTTCCCTGGCTTGTAGGTCAGTAGTTACTGTGCAAAATTGGCATTCTCTGCAACAATCACCGGTAGCGATGTTTTATTTATTGATTTGATTTTTTTTTTAAATCTGGCCCAATCAAGAGACTTTTGTTATCATTTTGCAGATGGAAGGATTGGAAATATACAAGGAAGTTTTCTAACAGTCTCATCAAAGTGGGCACAGTAATTAAATTTATGAAGAGGAGCTAGTTATTTCTGTTTGCTGTATAGGACAAAAAAAGTGAATTTTATATATTTATTTATTTCATAGGCCACCCAACTCCAATAAGATTCTGGGCAGCTTACGACCAAGAAACAATATCTATGCATAAAGACTATAAAAGCAAACTGACCAACACCAGATCAGAACAACACAAAACAAAACAAATAAAAGAACAAAAGAACATCACCCTGTCCCCACGGTTCAAGTTTCTTGAACGCCGTAAGGGTGGGAGTCACACGACTCTGGGAGATCATTCCAGGGTGCAGGAATTGCAACAGAATAGCATCCTGCAAGATGACATTAATTAATTGACGGGACCCAGAGTGCACCCAAACTGTTGGACTGAACCTGATGGGCAAACATGACTAGAGATAGGCAGTCCTTCAGGTAGTCAAGCCCATGCCTTGAAGTGCTTTATAGGTGATAACCATCATCTTGAATTGCACCCAGAAGTCAACTTATAACCAGGGCAGCTCACAAAGCAGCAGGGTGACACACTTAATGTGACATCCTCATTAGTGCCCATGCCCTCATATTCTGGACCAGCTGTAGCTTCCAGGGCAGCCCCAAATAGAGTGCATTACAGTAATCCTGTTGTGAGGTGACTAGGGCTTGAGTGACAGTTTAAGGCCTCCCGATCTAGGAAGGGGCACAATTGGTACACTAGGTATACCTGTACAAAGGCCCTCTTGGCCACAGCTGCCACCTGCTCTTTGAGGGGGAGCTGAGAGTCCAAGGGGACCTGTAGATTGTACATAGGTCCCAAATTGGGAAGTACAGTCCTATTGAGAGTCATCAATAGAATACCTCTGGATCCAGCAGGCTAAAATAGACATAGCCACTCAGTCTTGAAAGGATTGAGCCTGAGTCTGTTCCTCCCCATCCAAACCCATACAGCATCCAGGCACTGAATCAGGACTTTGAATGCATTGCTCAGCTGGCCAGGGGTTGACATATACAACTGGATATCACCCATATATTGATGATACCTGACCCCAAACCAGCGGATAACCTCACCACTGGTTTCATGTAAATGTTAGACAGAAGGGAAGAGAGCATCGAGCCCTGCGGCATCCCACATGTGAGGAGCTGTGGGTGAGATCTCTCTCCACCTGTCAACACCAATTGAAACTGGCCACAGAGAAAGGAGGAGAACCACCATAAAATAGGATACCATGGTTGACAATATTGAAAGCTGCTGAGAGATTAAGGAGCGTAAGGATGGATGAATCACCCCCTGCCCGGCTCTACCACAGATCATCAACAAGCGTGACCAATGCCATCTTCATACTAAACCCCAGCCTGAAACCCAAGTGAAATGGGTCCAAATAATCCACTTCCTCCAGGCTTCTCTGAAGTTGATGCCTGACCACATTCTCTGCCACCTTCCCTAAAAAGGGAAAGTCCATGGCTGTCATGGAGGCCACCAACCCCCAAACTGCCCTGGACTCCACAGCGTAGGATCTCAATCACCCACCCAGTGACAGAAGCTCAGGCAGGGAAGATGCAGTGCAGCAGGGGAGACACTGTTATACTAACAGCAACAATTCCACTGGTTCCCTAGAACCCAATTTCAGCCAGGGAGGCTCACTTCAGGCAGAGCTGTGAAAGCCCATAACAATTCACAGATAAATGCCACTTCACCTCCCCTCCCTGGTACCAAACCTGAAACCCAAGTTGGCACATCTCTGAGAAGGGAACTCCCTCTCCCAGCCCATCCAAGTTTTGGCAAAGAAGCCAGGTCAGCCACCTCATCCACTATCAAATCTAAAATAAGATTTTAGAGAACCTGGAGTTAATTTTTTATTTCAGAAGCTGATTTTTAATTGTTATAAATGTCCTAATACATTATTTGAAAGCACTGAAAAAGAAGTTATATACTATGCTTTTCAGTAGCAACAAATAGTAGCAATTTACACACACACACACACACACACACCCTGTAACAAGATGGATTCTACTTAGGAACACAAAACAAATGTATGAGGGTTATTAGTACTTTCCAAGCACTGGTCAAATTGTGGCATGGAACAAAAAATTACATATGAGTTTCTCTTCCTTAGCAGTAAAATGCAGCAATGAATAAACTTACAACAAGGTCCTTTTATGGCACCTACGTCATTTTCTCTGATAGTATGGATGGTCAAACATATTAGTAATAACCAACCATTAATTTCAGTAAATAGTAGTAGATCAAACAAAGAAACATGCCCTCTTCCTTATAGTCAATACACTTTTTGTAACGTTTTTATTTAAAGCTATATGGGACTGAGCATCTCTCTTACCACAGCTTGGAATATCCTACTGTGCTCTTCCAAGTAAGCTAGCACTCTCTGCCCTTTGGCAGAGTAATGACACAGAGGTTTTTGTGGGTTGTGTTGTGGAATTTCAGGGTTGGAATCCATTGGTGCCATGTCGGCAGCTATGCAACTTATTTCTGCTGTAATTCTGGTGCTAGGGCCTCAGTCCTCAGAACTGAGATTGCCCAATATTTGTCTGGCTGCCCCTGGCCTTCTTCCTCTTCCATGGATGAAGATCTGTCCAAGAAACCTATAAGAACTATATGGTACAATACCATCATATTACTACCATAATTAATCCTGGATATTAAATTCTTTCTTACTATTAGGCATGCCCACTGAAACAACCATTGCTATTTGCTCCATGATTATGGGAGGAACTTTTGAGCGTTTCCCTAAGCTGAGAGTTTGTTTTGCCCATGGAGGTAAGTATCAGAACCAAAGTAGTATAGTGATTATATTGTTGGTCTAGAACTGGAGAACCTCTCGGCCATTAAAACTCAGTTGATAGGTCAGTCCTATCTCTAAACCTAACCAACTACATACTGTTGTTGTTGGAGGGGTAAACATGGAGGAAAGAGTAACTATATGCCACCTTGTACTCCTACAGGAAAGGTAGAATATAAACTAATGCATAAAACATATAAATTACAATATATTTTTATTTTTAGGTGGTTCCTTTCCTTACACAGTAGGACGTATTTCCCATGGATTCAGTGTGAGACCTGACTTGTGTGCAATCCATAACAACATTGATCCAAAGAAATACCTTGGTTCATTCTACACAGATTCACTTGTCCATGATGCACATGCACTGAGGTTGCTGATAAACACGATAGGAAAGGTGAGTGAGAGCCTCTCTTGCAAGATACATTCCTAGACTGTAAACACTATTCCACAGTAAAGCCTTTGAGAGTGAAGGCCAAATTAGACATTATTCCATTCATTCAATCAGCAATAGCATGAACATTTTCTTAAAATACGTAGCAGTAGTGGGGTCTGTAATAGGCTAATATCCTGGCAGAGGTACAGGGCTTCAGTTTTCTGCTGGAGGTTGAAGCATTCTGTGTGGGCATGTCGGCATTCCTTAGAACAGGAATCTGACTACATGATACCAGGAAAAGAGCCAGAGAGTCAGTACTCTGTGCATGTGTGACTGAGAACAAAGGCAGAAGAAAGTAACCTGAGATTAACAATCCTTTAGACAAAAAGCAGGCAGACTAATAGGAAAAGAAGAGATACAGAACACGTCCTTAATTTGTTATCTACCTTCTACCGTCCCCTTATGATCAGTAGGTTATGAGGTGCTGAAGAATCTTGTGCCACAGGAGTTACACCTCCAACATTGTTCACTTGCAGCTGTGAACCCACTCCAGTTTCCTATACTTGCTATTTGTTATGCTATTTGGCACCAGAGATGAGAGTTCCAAATTTAGATAAGGCCCACAATAATGGCAAAGAGTTAAAACATCCTACTTATCTCCAAATTGCCAAACTAAGTCAGACATCCTAACTTGCTGTTTACACTTAAAACATATTCACAATGTTGCTAATTGTGTGACTTATGTCATGGCGTGGTTAGCTCCAAAAGAACAATAAAGACCTATGCACTCAAAAAGAAGAGTATCAAAAAGAAGGCAGGAAGAAAAGGCCGTATTTGTGAAATATCTGATAATTCCTGATATTTGACCTGGGTTAAAAATAAAAATAGCGAAGAAGAGAAACAGAGCAAAATGAATTTGCTTCTTGTTTCTAGTCAACCGTAGTCTCCTCCTTCCTTCACTTTCATTCATTGGATGAAGATAAGCAAGAGACGGATAAAACAAGTTGTACCTTCACCTCTTCTTCCCTGTTTTTCCTTAAAAGCAAGATAGCATGCTATACCAGTCTGGGCACTACTGGTATGGGGATGACTATTAAAAAAATCTGTCTTTTCCACACAAGAGCATAGCTAGCATACCAGCATAAGCAGTTACAGACCACTCATGCTTCTCTGGATAGCTAACGCCAGCATGTCTGGGCTGTAAAAATCCTGACCATTCTAGACTGCAGCAAAAAACCATAGAAAACTCTAGATCTTTTCTGCCATCTAATAGTGGTCCAGATTTTTGCAGCCCAAATATGTAGATTTTGGCACTGGATCCCTGGGACTCCTGAATTATTCACTTAGTCCTTCAGAGAAAACACAACATTCATTTAAAGTATGGTTACCATATGTGGGCTGCAAAAATCCAGACAACCATTCGATGACAATAAAGGTATATCTTTTTGCTGTCATTTAGTGGTCATCCAGCTTTTTGTAGCCCAGATATGGTAGCTCTAATCTAAGGCCAGTTATGAGTGTTCATAGTCCCCAATACTTATGTCTACATTAAGTGTCTCTTTATTCTTTCTTATACAACAAATAGAGTCTCTGAATACTGGTTCAAAAGCTCCCTGGGATAACTGCATGAAGAAGGAGGTAGAGTTGAATATCCATTGCATATTGATGGCCCTTGAGGCCAAATCTTTGGATGATTTCCCCTATCCCCTTCCCAAATTGGGACAAAATAGAGCCCAGAAGCATTCCCAAATGGGAGCACAGAGTAAGATAAATGATGTTTGCCCTCAAAAGGAATTCTGTCAGAATTTCTGCTATTTAAATGACTCACACTAGGGAACAAGCAGGAAAAAAAGCTGCACTAATTGATGACCATAATGCAAAAATACTCAGATATTTGCAGTGGTGTTTAATTATTCCTTGCATGCATGAAGTTCACAGAAGAAAAAATTTCATTGTATTTTTTCTGGCTATTGCATCCTCCTCCTCCTCCTCATGCAGAACTCACCCAGTTAGTAAAGATTATGCATTAGAAAGTCCCTCAGGTCATATTGACATTTGATGTTAGAGATTTATTTGCTCAACAAACTGGTATGAAAAAATTGGAAGAGGAATCACATTGCGGATAAAGAGATGTGATGGTCTTCATCAATCATAACTGTTCTGCTATGTACCTATGCTCAAAATATTTCCCATTTTTTGTGATGTGCATTTCCTTTTATTTTGTTTTACATCCTCCCCACCACTACCACCACAAAAAAGCAGATTAGACTAAATTAGGCACTTCTACTTTGGCATAAATGCTTAGATTAGAGCATTCTTTTAGAACCCTGTGGTGACGCCTACTGGAAATAGTATGTGATAGCAAAAAGGGAAATGTCCTATAGTGCTTTCTTCACTCTATACATCACCAGTTGCAAGTACAAAAAGCAAAATGACTTATGACTTCCAGGTTCATTAATTTGGGCTTTACTTCCAAATGATGAAGCATCAGAAACCCAAGTTATTCGGTACAGTCTATGTTAAAAAGGCATACTTTAGTCTCAGAAAACTCTGTATGATAGAATAGGATAAGAAGAAACACGGTATTTATTTATGATGAAGGAAAGCATCAGTTTATTACATCATTCAATGTAACTCATCTTGTCACAGTTTCACTAATTCCTTCCCTTTGGTGCAAGATATAATTTTATAAATGAACTAGATTACTATTGTAGATGGAAGCATAGATACCAAAGTTATCTGTAGCCATTAATAGGTGGTTAGATAAATATATATATATGATGAAGGCTTAAATTGAGGATTTACTGATTTCTCCTTTTTTCCTTCCTACTTCGTAGATAGATAATATTCACTAAAATGCTGCAAAAGCAAACCAATATTATTTCTGCCAATATCAATACCAATTTAATGCAGTTTCATTCAGGGGTACTTTGGGATTCAAAAAAGTCAAGATGTGTGATTGAAGCTCTACCCCTTTTTTACATGTGTTGCTTGTATGATGCTTGTAAAAAAAAAAAACATTGGTGGGGCTGCAGTCATGTGGTTGTGGCCACCATCCTGGCTTTTATCTCTTCTCCCACAGAAGCCCTTAGTTTAAATACTTTATTAACATGGTTTATCAGCTATATGCTATCTGTCAAAACCAGATTCTGTATTTTACTCCAAGTTATTATCCTCATGATCATCTATCTTTTAGTACATAAAAGTGAGAAATTTTTCTGTACTAAAATACATAAACGACATACTTTTATCTATAGAAAATAATGTAATTATATCAAAAATCAGGAGAATCCATTAATAAGGAGAAAACTTTATCTCTTATAAGACTGTTCAGTGTAAGTTTGCAGAAAGGCTCACAAAAAATGACAAGCATGTATTATTGTGATCAGTTGTGCTAACACAAATTTTCTACGTTCCTCAAAGATTGATATTTACTTATGACAAATAAGTTGCTTGAGCCCCCAGCAAATAACCTAATACAATGCAGTGGCTAGATAAACTTGGCCATATTGATCAGGAGAATGATTGCAAATGAAAGAATGTAACAATCAGCTAGGATGGGTGTTGCCTGTAAATGATGCAAATAATAGAGGCAATACATTGTCACGGTACCATACAAGCTAACTTTGATAGAAATGTAAAATTTCTGCTAATTGCAATGCAATGAGAAACAATATTTTTGTCACTTTTCCAGAGAAAAAACAGAAATGTTGGGAAAAAATGAAATATATGTAGTCAGTCCTTATTTTTAGCACTTTACAATCATAAAATCACTTTGTTATTTTACAAAACATATTGCAAATTTGATTTGTTTGTAGAAGTATGTTTCATGTATAAAATTAAAAAGTATAATTTATTTTGGCAAGTATAATTATATTGATTGAATTTATTTTAATCTGTTTTTATTCTGTTACAAATGGCACTACAAACCACAGAATTCCAAGGAATATACTCTCTCTTGATATTTGCTTGTTAAGAGAAACATGCAGGCAAAAAAAATCAAAGAAACCATAAATGCTGCGGTAAAACCAAGAACATTCTGGACAAAGATAGAAATACACTAATTTTCAGACTTAGATGAAAAATGGAAAGGTGGGGGGAAACTAATTCTCAGGATATGCATTTTGACATGTTTAATCCATTTTTCTGAATCTGAAGTACTATCACTGCTAGCATTTTCTAATCATCTGATCCCTTTTTTTTTATTATGTTCATGGATTTCTGGAAACTAAAGATGTCCCATTATTAAGGCAGAATTCTTTGCCCTTCAAAATGTCTAAGCATATTTATTTATTGATCTGGCATATTTCTAGACATAAACCAGAGTGTCTGACAGCATATTATTCAAAAGGAAAAGATT